TTACGCTTTTTAACATCAACTAAAATGCTAGAGTAAAATTAATTTTTTGTGTGGGAAGTTAAACATGTTTAACCAAAAAGACAATACAGATAATCTGTGGATTTACTTGTTCTTTTACTCACTATCTATGTAGTTGATCGTAAATTTAAATGTTTGTTCTATTGTGGGTGTTGATGAGCAAGCTTGCCAGTTGGTGCATGAACATCTGTGCTGTAATATAGAAGTCAGGAGGTGTGTACTGTAATGCAGAATTCTCTGAAGGAATATATGAACCAGTAAAAATCTATGCTAGATGGAATGGTTTAAGAATGGAGTAAAACAAGAAATTACCTAGTAAGGAAAACCAAAAGGCTTGGCTGAGCTAGGCAGTTTCAGTTTTTCAGAAGGTGTTAGGAAGAGTTGGGAGTATCATCAATTTTGTAAGAGGGTTGATTTACTGAGTGAGTATTTAATGACAAGGTAAAAAAGAAACCACCTTGAAGTTGTAATATGTTTGCCTTTTGCTGATTCTTCTGATTGAGGGTTGATTTACTTATTTTCACATTATTAACTTTTTTTAATCATGTCCTAATTGTTGTTAACTGGCTAAATTTTAGGGAAAGAAATGTACTGCGTATCCAGCGGTGAAGCTTAATGTGGTTTTGTCGGGAGCAACTTGGCTGGAACCCGATCCAATAGATCGTTGCTTCACGGATGGAAATTTGGTTACTGGAGCAGCATGGCCGGGCCACCCAGAGTTCATTTCTCAGTTGATGACATTGCTTGATATTCGAGTATCATTCTAGTTGCTGTTTACCGGGTCAGCTGCTTGCATGTACTATATGTAATTCATGAAAGAATAAGGCATGCATGTTGTGTTATGTTAAGGTGACGTTTGTATATATGAGGGAACAAGGACACTCTGGTTTTGATAAGTATATGCCATGTTCCATGCAAGTTTGGTTGTGGATGAAGCTTGTATTATACTACTTATGCTTTAGAAGGACACTGATTTATTAGTCGTCGGTTCCCTTGGTCTCAATCTCTCACACCGTACACCTTGAAGGTTTACCTGAATGAATATCATGTTGTCCAGAGTTGGCTTGTATTTTCACAATCATCCTCCTGCAACTGAGAAATGAGGATTGACATGATATTGCATTTTCTTTTGGGTCAAGCAATATAGTTTGTTGACAAAACCAGACCTCATAACAGAAAGCAGAGCAGCTGGTGAAAAATCAACATGGCAGTCACGATAAATCAACGCGAATGCTATTCAAAACGAAATCAACCGTCTTTTTGGGAGAAGCAAGATATCAAACTCTATGATTTTGGCATGACCTGTTAGAGATAAACATTACATTATACGTCTCTCTTTCGGGACATTAGCTCGGAAGCATTGACTTTGCACTCGGTTTGAATCTTTCCTTAAATAATTTAGACTTATCACTTGGTCGGTGCCGGTGAAGACGACAAAAAGCATATCAAACTTGGATATTGTTGGTGATGGCTAGAAACTGAAAAGAAGAGAGGAACGAATAGGGAGATGCTACGATAATTGAGTACGACGTGTTGCTCAAATTGAGTGCGACGTGTCTAGCTGACTCTCCAGAAACCTCCGGAAACGCTTTTGTGAGTATTACTATTACTATTAAGCAAGCAAAGCAGAGCAGCTCAAGCTATGACCTACCTTGTATTCAGACTCTCAGACTCTCATACTTTCCGACTCTCTCTCTCTCTCTCTGAAAAACTCTCTCTGAAAAAGAAGAAAGAAGAAAGAAGAAAGAAAAAGCAAGAAACAAAAGAAGGAAATAAGAAAAGAAATGGGGAATCCGAAAGGCGAGGAGCGGAGGAGGAGGGTGTTGTTACTGTGCGGGGACTACATGGAAGATTACGAGGCAATGGTCCCATTTCAAGCACTGCAGGCATTTGGAGTCTCTGTTGATGCAGTTTCTCCTGGTAAGAAAGCTGGTGATATCTGCGCCACTGCCATAACCATTCAAGTAGAGTCCACTGATCAGGTCACACTCTGTCTTTCCTGTTAATTAATTTATTTTGAACAACCTCTGATGAGTTTGAGTTTGAGTTTGAGAGACAAGACAAGGAAAGAAGCTTGAATTCACCTAACCCTTACTCTTGTTTTCATGTGTGTGTTGTGTTTGGTTTTCTGTACCTTTTTGGTTACAGGCTAATACCGAATCTCGTGGTCACAATTTCACACTGAATGCAACATTTGATGAGATTGAATTTGACGAATATGATGGTCTAGTTATACCAGGAGGACGATCTCCTGAACATCTTGCTATGAATGCATCGGTTGTAGAATTGGTGAGAAAATTTTCTGACTCCAGAAAGCCAATTGCTGCTATTTGCCATGGGCAGTTGGTCTTAGCAGCCGCAGGCGCTGTTAAAGGTCGCAAGTGCACAGCGGTTCCAACTTTGAGACCTGGATTGGTTGCTGCTGGTGCTCACTGGGTAGAACCAGATACATTGTCAGTGTGTGTTGTTGATGATAATATAATTACTGGGGTCACTTATTATGGCAATCCTGAGTTCATTAGGCTTTTTCTCAAGGCACTAGGAGGCAACATATCTGGTTCTGAGAGAAGGGTCCTCATCATCTGTGGAGTAAGTTTTCTTTTCTTTTTCTTTTATATTGCAATGACAAATATAGGACAAAAAGTATGCTCAAGTTCAAGTGACAACCAACCTTATTATTATCAAAAGAGAAAGGGGAGAAAGCCCGAATTGGCTTTACCAGTTTCGCCACAACTAGTTCATCGATGAACTATTTTTATCTACATTACATCATGGTTTTAGGCTTTTAGCCAATGATTAAACTGTTAGATACTAATCATCATCATTTAATTGCTCCCCTCCCCAATATTTGTAGAACTACGCGGAAGATTATGAGTTAACTGTGCCTTATCAGACCCTTAAAGTTCTAGGATGCCATGTTGATGTGGTTTGCCCCAAGAAGAAAGCCGGTGATACCTGCCCAACTGCTATCCGTGATCTTGAAGGGGGCCAAACCTACAGTGAGACACGGGGACATAATTTTGTTTTAACAGCTGACTTTGAATCCATAGATGCCTCAAGTTATGATGCCCTTGTACTCCCTGGAGGTAAAGCTCCAGAGTTTTTGGCATTAAAGGAGGATGTTATTGTACTAGTGAAACAATTTATGGAAGCCAGGAAACCAGTTGCATCCATCTGCCATGGCCTGGAAATTTTAGTTGCTTCTGGTGTTCTGCAGGTATGGTTCTTAAAGAAAAAACATATTTCCTACCTGCATTTAGTGGTTAAACGTTTGTCACTAAAACATAAATATAATGCTTCGAGTTTTAATGCTACTTATTAAAGAAAAAGTAAAACAGATTGAAATACTTTATCGATTGTACTTGAAAAGGAAGAAAAAAAGGTTACATCTAGTGCCTTGTATTTTGGTTCTGTTGAGCTGATCTGTTGTGACCTATTAACCTCTCAATTGTAAATAACTATTGGGAAGAGGGAGGTGAGTGCTCTTTAAAATCGCAAACGAGATGATATTTTTTCTGTTTCTTTTGATTAGTGGTTAATGTACTTATTTTCTGATTATTCACTTTTTAGCATGTCATAATTGGATTAATTGGGTATATTTCAGGGGAAGAAATGTACTGGATACCCAGGGATTAAGGCTCGTGTGGTTTTATTAGGGGGGACGTTTGTGGAAGCGGATCCAATAGATCGTTGTGTCTCTGATGGAAATCTGGTTACCGCAGCAGCGTGGCATGGCCAACCAGAGCTTATTTCTCAGTTGATGACATTGCTTGATATTCGAGTGTCATTCTAGGCACCCTTTACCAGGTCAGCTGCTCCAAGTAATATATGTAACTCCATAAACGAATAAGAGAATAAAAGAGAAAGAAACATAGTCAGACACTCCGTGTAATTCAATAAAAGAATAAGAGCATATGTTAAGGTGATGTGTGTATCTGTGAGGGAGCAATGTTGCTCTGGTTCTTCTCTTTATGTACCAGTTGTGGATGGAACTTTTATGTTTGTAACTACGTAAGGTTCTTGATTATGATTTTTATGGAAATCCTTGAATCTGCTTTCAGATCTAGCGTTTACTTTCCTAGTTTAATGATTAAAATCTATCCTTATTTCGAAAAAGAAAGGCTCCGGAGGATGCAAATGATCCCACCATAATAAGATGCCTTCACTGTTGAAAATTGGCCCAAATTGTATTGTTAATTGTGTAAGGGCCACTTTATTATTGTTGTTTGCTAGCTTTCTTCATTTGTCATGCCGCGGGCTTTTCAAATGGGGAAATGACGGCACATGCCATCTTTGTTAAAAGGCTGGAGACAAAGAGATGGAGTGGGTTCCAGCACTTGAGTGATCTACACCTACAGCAATTGGAATCCATCTTGGTGGGCATCTGCGGCTAACTTTGTGTAAAAGCTTTGGGCATTTCCTTTGTAGGTGGCTGCCATTATGGGAAAGAAAA